TTTCCACGGGAAGAAACAGATCCAGGTGAAATCTGCAGAGAGTATTTGAAATTATATAAATAAAAGGAAAACACATCTCTTCCCTCTGGCTGTTTACGAGCAGCTGCACACTTCATATTGATCCCAGCAGATTATAAAGGGGCCACTATAGTCTAATTCAGTAATGGAAGTAGCAACGGCTGTGAAATTTTCCAGAATTGATTCTCATTTCTACAAGATTAAAACTTTTAGGAGAAAAACTTATAAACTTTCCAGCATTAGATAATTCACTGCAATTTACAGTAAACAATTCCAGTTCTGCTTAACTAATGGTTTAAAATATAGAGGGAGGTTTCTGGTTGGTTGTGGGTTTTTTTGTTTGATTGTTTTGTTCGGTTTTGTTGTTTGGGTTTTTTTTGTTTCTTTTAACATTTTATAGCTTCAACTGCTGATAGTTTTGCCAGGTACATTAAAAAAGCTATTACTGACTTTTTTGTTCCCTATTGCCATTACATGTATTTTATGGTCTTGCAACTCCTTAGCTCTCTCTTCAGTAAAATAAATTGACTGACCTTCTGTGATACATTTCACTGAGAGAGGCTTCCTAATTGCTCAGTGATTTTCATGTCCCTTTTCAGGTTTTTCTCAACATGTCAAAACTAGACATGATATTTCAGCAACCAGCAGCAACTCTAGGTGTGATACAACCTTTTCCTCCTTGTGATTTCTCTGTTTATACATCTGAGGTTGCAGGAAAGCTGAAGTTTTGGCCACAGCACCATCCTTGGTAGCTGGCAAACCTCTGTGACCCATTTGTACTTTTAATATTGTGCTTCCCAGGATAAAGCTTTATATCAGGTAAGTATAGCCTCCACTTTTTCCTCTTAAATGTATGAGCTCATCGATGACCTTCCTTACTGAAATGCATGTTTGCTTGTCCCCAGCTGTCAAATGATCAGGTCACCCTGTACCAGCGTTCTCTCCATGTCAGTATTTACCCTTCCCTCAGGCCCTATGTCATCTGTGAAGTTTATCAGCGATGCTCTGTTTTCTTCTAGGCCATTGATAAAGGTGTTAAATATTTTAGTAACTAGCATAAATCCCAGGCAGATGCCAGAATACATCCTTGCAGACAGTTACGTGATGAGGTGTTGGTGAGATGGTTCCATGATCTGGAGAAGTGGCATGTTTAGGCAGGGGTTTATTCCTTAGATATAATTTATAATTACTTTTCAATAAAATATTATTTTGTTGCACCAAGTGAGAGAAGTTTCTTGTATCACTGCTTTCACCTCTGCCATCCCAGCTCCTTACCTTATTGCAGAAATGCTTCCTGGTGCTCGGGGAGAGGAGTTAGTTGGGATCATTCTACAGAAGCCCTCAGCAACACGAAAAACTCGGCCACGATTGTTTTTCTCTGGGTATGTGTTCAGAGGTTGGTAAAATCAAAACTGGGTGCGGTGGTCTCTCAGCCAGGGTGGTTGTCAACTGCTTGTAAGAGTCCTCGTGTAATTCACATGGGTACCTGTACCAGGGATGCGGGGGAATGTCCAGTTTGGGACATGGAGCCGGTCTTCACAGGTTTCGCAGTTTTTACCAAGTATTTCCTTTCCCTTACTTGGTGTTTTCCCAAGCCATTCAGCCAGGATACTGTGTTAGCATTTCTACAACCGATGGGGAGGGGGGGTTGGGGGGGGGTGTGTGTGTGTGAAGAAATAAATATGAACTTCATGGCTGCATGGGGAGACAAAATAATTGAAATTCATAGAATTATAGAATCACAGAATGGTTTGGGCTGCAAGGGACCTTAAAGATCATCTATTTCCAACCTCCCAGGCAGGGACACCTTCCACTGGACCAGGTTGCTCAAAGCCCCATTCAGCCTGGCCTTGAACACTGCCAGGGATGGGGCAGCCGCAGCTTCTCTGGGCACCCTGTGCCAGTGGGGTTGTTTGTGTTTCTGTAAAAAGTCCCGGTTATCTGAGCAGGTACAGGAGGCTGGGACCGTGACTCCAGATCCCCAAGCACCCATGTCTTGCAGGTGTGCAATTATTTCAGCATGAATCAGCGCTGCACCTCACACCACGAAGGTCTGTGTAAGGTGCGGTGCTGAGGCGTGGAGGCGCGGAGCTGGGCTGCCACAGTTTTGGCGGGGCGCTGCTCTGGGGCCTGCGAGTGCCAGCGGCGCGACAGGCACCAGCGAGCGCGACGTGGAGGAGGCAAGGTCGTTGCTCAGCAGTGGGCACTGGGCGTCGAAAGAGAAGAGCGGCGGACCAAGAGGCGGTGAGAGCCTACAACTCCCAGCAGGCACCGCGGCGGCGGCTCAGGGACGGGGCAACTTGGACTACAACTCCCATGGTGCCGTTGGACCGGAGCCCCGCGGCTGTTCCGGGGAGTGGGGGAGAACTACATTACCCAGCGTGCCCCGCGCGGCGGGGGTGGGGAGGAGGTGTTCCTGGCTTGGGCGGGGCGGAAGCGGAGCGGCGGGGCTGGGCCGGGGGTGCCGGGCGGCGATGGGTGGTGGGTACAGCGCCGGGCCCGATGGTTGTCGGGGGTGGCAGGAGGTAGCGAGATCGAGGGCTGAGGTGCTCTACTTGGGTTGGCTGTCCGCCTGCCGGGGAATTGCTCCCCTTCGCAGGGCTGTCTCCTCAGAGGTCGGAGCTCGCGGCAGCGCGGTCGCGTTCCGTGGAGATGGTGCGGGCGGCCTGGCCCGTGCCGCGGCCTGGCGGAGGTGGACAAAGCGTGTCGGTACCGCTTGGGCGGCTGCGGCCTGTGCCGGAGCTCGGCCCCTGTAACCGGCCGGCTGCGGGGCTCTGAGTTGGCGCGGGGCGAGAATCCTTCGTGCAGCCACTTAGGCTGCGGCTGCCGGGCCGCCTGAGCGCTGGGTTGGTGGGGGGGGGGGGCAAAGCGCTGTTGGCCCGAGGGCTTTTGAGTCATTGCTTCTCCCCTTCTTAATTTTTTTGTTTAATGAGGTTTTTGAGAACTAATTTCCAAGTTAAATTATGATCTCAGGATGTTTGGTTTGCTTTCTGCTCCTAGATCATGTTTTGTGGACTGGCGGTGCTGAAGAAATTGAATGAATGGAACAGCTAGGGCAGTCAGGAAGTTTGCATTTCCTGCTCTTCACTTGCCACATGTCACAAATCACGCTGTGTCTCTGAAGTAACCTGGAATCATTGGAGCTGTGCCTCCTGAGGGACCCTGAGGACCCCTGAAGGTAAGAAAATGTTCCATAGCATTATCTCCTGCTCTGTTTTTTCAGCTCTGCTGGCTTGACCTTTTTTTTCTCCCTCTTCAATGAAGTGCATGCATCTAGTCTTTGCTTTTAATGTTGCTATTGGTTTGGCCTTTGCCTTCTCTTTTATGAGCTGCTGTTTTGAACATTTTATATCTCGCTCCTTTAAAAAATGAGTGTAGTTATAATATCCTGTGAAACATTTCTGCTTGAGTGCCTGTTCACTACTGCCTTGACTTGTCGTATATTCATTGTGTAGCTTAGTTTAAGCCACAACTTGGTTGAAATAGCTTCTGTTGTTAAAATAAAATGTGCTGGCAGTGTCATATGGACATACCTTTTGTAAAAACAATGAAGGTTCTTACTGACAGTCTATAAAGGCAAAGTATTTCTGTTATCAATATTTATGTCTTTGTAATGTAATCTCTGGTAGTAGTAATGTTATTTTTTTATAAGTAAGCTTATTTTAAGGCACCTTCTACATACTGTTCTGCATAGAACCTTTTGCAGTGTGGCATAATCTTGTAAGTATGCAGTGTCTTTCTTTGTGTTCTTCTCTGGTAACTATTTCTTACTGACTGCTTACTCCTCCCATTGAGCTCTGCTTGGGGCTGGAAGGGTGGTTCTCTCTTTAACAGAGCAAAGGACAACCTTTTGAAAGTGGGGGGTGGTAAATGAAGATGCAGTGGATATACATAGTGAATGGGCAGGATAGCCAAGTCTGCTACACTATGGCACGAGAAATGTCCAGTGTAAAAGTTGCCTAAAGTGCCTAAAGTTCTTCATCTTTTCTTTTCTTTTTTTTTTTTTTTTTGGCTAAGTAGTTGAAGTGTTAAGCAGAAACACTGAGGGGACCTTTATTACAAGGAATTAGGGATGTGCTCTGGTTTTGGCACTGTCTTGTCTGTACTGAAAATCCATGTGTGTTCTCCCTGGGACAAAAGCCACACAGCCACCTGCTACATCTTGGGGGCTGCTGTCTGCCTGTCCCTGGAGCCGTGCATTACAAGGATCAATTGGCAATAGCTGGCTATGTCCCTTTTACCCAAGTGGGTAATGGACACTGGACAGTGCCTTAATTTACCATTTCATGTTTAACCCTTCATTTTGCCTGTAAACTGCTCTTTGTTGCCATCTGTCATTTGTCTGCCAAGTCTACTGTATGTCAATGCACAGAAGGCTGGCCAGAAGTGTGTGGCTGCCTTTTAATGATGCTCTGAAAGAGATATCTCCAGCACCAGTGTTCTGTACCTGGTAGCAGGGATGCTGTAAGTAAGTGTCCAGGGATGAAGTAAGATTTTTGAGCCAGTTCTTTTCTTTCTCTGTATTAGGTACAAAGTTGATAGGACTTTATTATTATAAACATATCTTTTTAAAAGTCAGTGGCAGCAAACCAGTGGCCCAGTAATGTCCTGCTTACATTCTTAATTATTAGAGCCAGACATGACTCTGAGGATGCGGTTGTAGGTTCTTGTGATTCCTCCTTTCAAAGAGAGCCCATTTTTAAAGAGAGGTGTCTATTGCAGAGGATTCCTCTTGCAGTGAATGTGACTGCAATATAGTTCAAAATCCAGACCAGCCTGCTCACCAGCCTGTTCTGCTGCTTGCCTCAAGAGTGAGTTCCCAGAGGATCTGCTCAGCTCTGAGCTCAGCTCAGCGGGAGCTGGGCAGCAACAGCTTTGGCCCTGGAGATGCCACTGATCCTATTTGCTTTGTGAGAAGTTTGTGAAGGAGAGGGGATCTCTCAGTGAACTCACTGGGGATAAACAGGATGTGATATCTCTACAGCAGCTTGCTCTCTCCCTAGTCTGCTCATCCAGTGTCCTGTGTACTTTGAGTGAGATGCTGGGATATCACTGGAGAATGGAAGTATGCAACCAGGAATTAAACACTGCACAGAGAATTTGCTTTCGAGTCTGGACCTGATTCTACATTTTCTAAGTAAATAAGACCAGATATGATGTTTTGCCTCTCAGTATTTGCCCTAGCCTATGAAAGTTCATGGCTTATGAATTATTACTTAAATACAGTTGTGGCATGCAAACTTTGCAGTATTTTAAATAGATGCTGCTTGTCACTTCACCAAAACTCAGCTCTGCTTCTGCTTGTTGCTAAGGATGCAGTTTAGGGTTGAATATTGCAGAGCATGTACCTTATTTAATACAGAAATTAAGCATAGGGAATGATATGGGTACACAGTATTTCTCCTCCACAACCCTTTTAGCCAGTTTCAGCCAAATAGAGGGAAAGGAAATAAGAATGGTGGTGTAAGCAGCAAATACCAGTGCCTTTGAAACTCCTGTTTTAATTTGCAATTGTTTCATAGTGCAAAATTTCCTACTGGCAGGTCTGACTTAAGCTTTCAGTTTTCCCCTGTGAATGTTGTGTTTAAAGACATTTGCTGTTTCCAGTTGCAGTTTGTTCAATTGAAAGAAGTTAGACCAAAATATTTTGATCAACGTATGTGGGAGAAGGGAGGTGGAACAAACAAGAGACAAGAGCTGATTAGACAGCAGCTCGTGTCGCCAGAGCAGCTCTAGCTGCTAAGTTAACTTCAGTTGAGCTCTTTTTTTCTGGTAAGTGCATCAAGCCTGATTCATCATAATCCATAAATGTAATCAGGCACAGAAAACGCATGATAATAACAGGCATCTGAGAGGAGCCCTCTGACGTACTGCACTATCTGCAAAACATCCCATGTGTTAGCAATCAATTACTCATTAAAGTCACATTACTGTCGTAAGTGTAATCATGCGTGGCATCTGTATTTCCTCCATGCTTCCTTTGATCCTGAATTTATGTCACTTGTGAGCACGACCCTGCAAAGAGGGCATGAGTGACCCCTAATAACAGGAGTCAGAGCAAAGTCCCCATGCCAGCACATGCAGGCCTTTCAGTTTTAGAAGTTATCTTGTTCCCATGGAACAGAGCACACCTCCCCCTGCGTTGTTTTAGTTCTTCAGAGATACCACTCTATATATTGTGGCATTACTGCAGCATTTATCACGATTTCCAGATTGACCTTTCAGTGCTTCCTGCATGTACTATCTCTAGTGCCTGGATACATTTCTGTGCTTCTCTAAAGGCATTCTGGCACCTTGGCATGGCTGCCCTTTGTGAACAGCCTGGAAGAGCTTTTTTGGCATGCTTGTGGTTCTTAACCTTTGGTGTAAGCACAAGTTGTGAAAGCTGTTTGGGATGGGAGGTTAAAAATAACTTCTACCCTTGCTAATCCCTTAAGGAAAGATAAGTCTTCTGCCTGGGTGCTGTGGATGGATCCTCTGCGGTTCCCTGCAGTCAGGACCACAAATGGCAGTGAGCTGTGCCATCTGCTTTGGGGACAGAGTTGCTGTTGCTCTGTCAGTTGTTGTCTCATGAAGAGCAACTAGCACAGTGTGGCTGGGAGAAGGGTGATACCAGTGTCTTGAGCTCGCAGGTCCAGTGGATGCTGTAGAGTCGCTCAGTGTTCCTTTGATTCCACCATGTTGGCAAAGACATGTATATCCTGGGGGAAAATTGCGTAAGAGGAATGATGTCACGAGTTTAACATTGCTAGGATAACTTTAGGTTTACTGTCAGAATAGTTACTCACTTGGCTCTCTCTTTCCCTACAGCAGCAAGGGCACAATGATGGACAACCGTTTTGCTACAGCACTGGTAATTGCTTGTGTTCTCAGCCTCATCTCCACCATCTATATGGCAGCTTCCATTGGCACTGACTTTTGGTACGAATACCACACCCTTTACCCAGCTGAGAATGTCAGTGAAGCTGGTAGGAGCATCTGGGACGAATTTGTCAGTGAAGAGGCAGATGAGAAGACCTACACAGACGCGCTCTTCCGGTGTAATGGCACAGTTGGGTTGTGGCGGAGATGTATCACTGTACCCAAGAACTCTCACTGGTACAGCCCACCAGGTATCTCCAGAGCAATTAACACTTCCCTAGCTTGCCTGTGGTTGTATGTGCGAACTTCCTCAGAACGTGTTCATGCCACTTTCTTCCTCCGGAAAGCTTATTTCTAGCTTATTTGGTTTTGTGGGTTTTTAGTAAAGACAGTCTGAATTTTTAAAGAAGCAAAAGAAGCAGAATAGTCTGTAGCTGTCAGTGCTGCAGAGTCTGGATTTGACACATGATAGTTGATCTAAATGAAGTCTGGTATAGCTTGATTTCATTATTTTTTTTTCTGCATCTGCTGTCCTACTGGGAATACAGTTATAGTTGCTCTGCCAGTCACTGTCTTTTTAGGAGAGGTCCTGGGACCCAGCAAATGGAATAAAGGTACTGCTTTATCAAGGGAGCACTTCTTTTATCCAGCCATTTGTTTTGCTCACATCACAAGTGTCGCACTGTTGCATCAGCACATCTTGAACTCCTTGTACTGTAGTGATTGAGGTAGAATGAAATATCTGTATTCTTTTTCACAATGGTTGGGGTCTAGAAAAGTGTGGTGAGCAATTATTTTAATTGCTTCAAAGTAGATTTTTGGAGACTTCCTGTGTGTGTGAAGCCCTTCATTTTGAACTCTCTTAAAAAAAATATACTTTCAAACACTTTTTCTGCAGAAAAACACATGACATGAAATACTTTTTTTCTTTCGTGAAAATACTTATTTTGGTAGACATTAAACCAGCTCTGCTCAATAGTGTTCTCAAAGCAAAATCTGAGACATAAAAGAGGAGAAATCTATTGCAAAGAAGCAAGTATTTTCTATTCTTTAAATAGTCCTTCCTATCCCATTTTTGAACGAAGTGTTTAGTACAATACTACATTCTGTACATGGAGGTAAGCACAGCTGACTACAGGAATATGTAACAGCATAGTTGCGCATCATGTGCCACGTTTCTTTCCCAGTCTGGCAAGCATGGCACAGTTCTCTCTGGATAACTTGGGTAAGCTTGAAGATTCTGTGTGTTTACATGCTGACTGTAGTAACTACATCATAGTAACTATATTGAGATCCTACAGATCTCAATTGTCATCCTGCAGATCTGTTTTGAGAGGTATTTTTTTTCTCTAAATGGAACTCTTAAGGAGCTTCCCAGCTCAAATGGTTGGCAAATGAGGAACTGTAAGAGGGGTGGGGGGAAGACACCTAATGGTAATTTTTAATTTTTTTCCCCAGAAACAGATATGATTACAAACTGCATCAGTTTTTCCCTCTCTGACCAGTTTATGGAAAAGTACATAGAGCCTGGAAATCACAATAGTGGCACGGATTTAAATCGAACTTGTAAGTGTCTTTTACTTCTGGCAGGTAAACAAGTAGGATGGGGAGGGGAAAGATGTTTCTCAAATACAGTCACTCGTGAGGAAAGCATGTGTATCTTGCTCTGCATTTCTTGGTTTTTACAATAGCACAAGCAACAGATCAAAGTTTAAAAGGAAAACTTAAATGTGTTAGCAAAGGTTTTGCTCATGAATGCAGTACAGGAATTTGCAAGTTAACAAATATTCCTGCTTGAGTGGAGCCTTTGGTCCTTTTTAGCTATAAATATAAAATGTCTGATGAAGCAGAAGCAGCATGGGTAGAAGAGAATATAAAACGGTGGGAGAAGATCAGTTTCAAGCCCATCTTCAACAAACTTGTCATGCGTGTTTCTTCCATATGCAGATCTCTGGCGACTGCAGTTTCTTCTGCCCTTTGTCAGCCTTGGCCTCATGTGTTTTGGGGCTCTGATTGGGCTCTGTGCTTGTGCCTGTCGCAGCCTCTACCCTGCCATTGCCACTGGAGTCCTCCATTTCCTAGCAGGTAGGTCTCCTGCCATCCACCACTTACCCTCCCTTCTCCAGAAGCTCATAGTGACAGTCAGAGCACTTCAGCACTGAGCTCATTGTCCTTTCCTACTTCCTTCCCCAGGGCTTTGTACACTGGGCCTCGTTGGCTGCTACGTAGCTGGGATTAAGCTGCTCCATGACAAGCTGCCCCTGCCTAATGATGTGAGGGGTGAATTCGGCTGGTCCTTCTGTCTTGCCTGTGTCTCAGCACCTTTGCAGTTTATGGCAGCTGCTCTTTTCATCTGGGCAGCTCGTACCAACAGAAAGGAATTCACTCTCTTGAAAGCGTACCGTGTAGCATAAGTGCTGCTGCTGAAGTACTGGGTTTCCATGTTATAGCCCCTGCTGTCCTTAACCCTTATGACTTTTTTCTTTTAGTCAGGATTTTACCTTGTACTCTGTGTGCTTCTTGCCAGTTGAGACAATTTAGCCTACAGGCCCTGAAGACAAAGACCTCTGGGTTAAATGACCAAACTCTGCCAGAAGTCTGCAGAACTTGAACAGGTTTTTTAATTGTTGGGGTTTGCTTTTTTTAAAGAATCACTATTATTTTTTAAGCTCCAATTGGTTGCTGACTATCCCCTTGGTTAGGCGTACATGCCCCCTCCTAATTTTATTACCCTGTCAGCCTGAAGGAAATAGGAGTGGTGGTGTGGGGTGGAAGAGACATAGGAAACGATGCAGGTATAGGAAGAATTGGAACCTCGGTGCACAAATAATAATCAGGAGCTGTCCGCTGTGTGACCCAAGCAGGCAGGACATACATAAAGCACTCAAGAGACATGGGGGAACTCATAAACCTCTGTTGTGGAAATACTGTAGCTCGATCAGCCCTGTAGCGTAGCTTTGGGTCTCTTATTCCCGCTAGCTAGTTACTTCCTTTGGCTCCTGCCAGAACTGATGGTAGGCAGAGCAGCTGGCTGTGAGAGAGCCTGCACAGCACAGCACAGCATGCTGAATGCAGCCTATGTGTTCGCTTGTGCCAGGGAATGGGATAACTTGGCCCACATGGAGCTTTGTGCTGTTCTAGCTACACTGCTTCCAGGACCCAGGCTAGTTTGGTATCTGCGCTACCTGTGGTTGTACCCTCTGATCTTAACTTGTGGTGCTTTTGCTTGCTGTGAAATAAGGTTTTCCTCTCTCTTGTTGTGTTGAAAGTGACCCCTCACGAGTTTTTTAGTTTTAATTTGGTTTAGTGTATGTGTGTATATGTACATATATAAACTTAACTATTTTAAAGCTCACCTGTTTATCCTGTATAACACACAACAGTTTTTTTTTAAAAGGTGCTGCTCTTTTCCCACCTTGCCCCAAAAGTATTGTTTAAATGAAATAATAATAATTAAAAAAAGACTCAAAAATGTTCCGTGTTGCATTCATCTCATTCATGGGAGGGTGAGGGAATGGTCTGGAGTGAATTTTACTTGCAGAAAGGAAAGCCAATGTCCAGATCATTGTCCATTTTCAGGGAAATAACACCAGAAACAATGAGGTTAAATTTTATTTTTGTAAATGCAGTTCTTGGGCTCCTGCTAACTTTAATTTTCTCCTGCTCAGTCACTGGGGAATGAACATCCCATAATCTCTAATTAACTCACAACTTCTGCACATATTTCTTCTAAATCACTGCAACTCTGGCCAGACTGGGTGGCAAGTCTTATCTAGAAGACAGTATTCCAAGACTAAACTGTTTAATTCTGAGACTTTAACACCCCTCAATTCCTTACTGCATCCTTAATATAAGAAGTATGTCTTAGAAGAAATAAATCCTGGCAAAATGAGTACTTCTTTGATGGCAGGGGTTCTATGAAATACTGTTGATGAGAGTGACACAGAAATAGGCATTTTTGTCTCACAGCTGGGGTTTTTACTGTTTTGTTTTGTTCTGTTCTCCCCTTATTCCCCCCCCCCCAGTAGGTGTTTCTACCCAGGCTGTGTTTGCTGGGTCAGCAAACATCAGATCAGGGGTATCTGCTCATATCTTTTCTTTATATTTTTGTCATGTGTGTGATAGGGATCAGCCTACTGCTCCTTTTATTATCATCATTGGAATCTTTACGGAATGAAACAAGGGTGGTGATAAAAAACAGATTCACTGAAAAAGCAGCAGCGAGTCGTTCAAGATAATCCTCTTTCTCCTGCTGTTGAGTATTTCTTTACCTTTCCTCCTAAACAGCTTTCCCTCTGTACAACAGGCTAATTCGAACCTGATGAGAGGGGTGTGGTAATTTTTTGCAGCATCTGAGAGTAAGTGAAAGTCTGTGCTGCTGCTATGTAATAATGGGGTGCTTTTTCAGAGTCATTCTTTATTTCTGACTTAGGTAGATAAGGCCTAACTGCTCATCTTGTCTTGTTCCTCATTTGTCAGAAATACTAGGGCATGCAAGCCTTAGCTCAGGTCTAAAGGACTGAAAGTTGCTATTCTGCATTTAAAGGGTAAACCCAGGTGCTTGTTTTATCTGCTACAGTTTGGTGGTTTGGTTGGTTTTGTTTCTTTTTTTCAGGAGCTGACAAAAGATAGTGTGTGATTCCAATCTGAGCAGTGGGACTTCTGACACCTGTTTTTCTGACCTGTAAATCTCAGTTTTCCAATGTTAACATTCTTCCTTCCAAAAGAATGATTGTTATGGAGAGAAAAGGGAATGTTAGAGGCACTGTCTGTCCTTTCTTGGTCATTTTAAGTATCAGTAAAACCAAGATGGTCCACTTTTGACTGTGGTTCAGGTAAATGCTGAAATGAAGAAAACAGGCTTTATTTGATCCTTGATTTGTACCATTTTACTAAAATGAGGGTCACCTTTCAGGATTTGTTTTGGGCGGTTTTTCTTCATTCTTGTGTAAAGAGTTCTTGATTATAATGGATTTCAGCGAGAGTCAGATTGCATGCAAACAAGAGGGCTAGCCCTCTTTGCTACCTGGGATGATGGATCTGTGTATGCCTCGTAACTGTGTTTTGCTTGAGGTGTAAAGGGAGCAAGAGTTCTTGGGCTGCTGGCTTGGGTCCACTAAGTAGTGTTGGGGGACAGAAAAAGAGTAGACACTGAGGATGGAGTAATTCTATAAAAGAGAGATGATTAAGCATATTAACAGATAATGAGACTTCTTCAGCCAGAGCATGTGTTACAGGTCTTTCGCACTGGTAGATCCTCATGCCACATTTAAGTGCTGGCTGCATTCAAGAGAAGGTCGAAGCCTTTGTGTACATTTGTGGGTCAGGTACATGTATGAAAATGCAGACACCCTTGCTCAAGAGTGAAGAGTGCTCCAGCTCTGGAGGAAAGAGGTGAGATCAAAGGCTAATTTGTGTTTCTCACTAATTTATGATCTGACCATGGGAGATGTTTACTGCTACTGGTTCAGTATTGGAGATGGGGAAGAGGCAGATACATACAGATCAAAATAGATGAAGAAAAGACATGTCTGTGTGTTCCTGTGTGCACAGAAGAAATTGCACGTATTTAATGCTGTTGTATGGGCCAGTGAAAGTGAAGAGAAGGTATATCAAAGGAAAAGGAGAAACAAGGGGAGAAGGAGGAATCCTGCCAGACTGAGGGTGAGAGCTGAGGACTCTTGGCACTCTGTGGGAGCAATCTCCCAGGGCTCCAGAATGGCTGGTACTGTGCAGCCCACCCACAGTACACTCACAGTGCTGCCATAAGCCAGGGGGTGAACTCTCCTTATGTGCGTATGAGAAGTCCATAAAGGTTCTGTCTCATGAATCTTGAGCTGAGCAAGCAGCATTTGTGCTTCAAACATGCCCCTGTATGACAATGTTTCTTCATAGGTTTGGGCTTGTTTTCCTGCCAACACTGGAACCTCTAGGAAAGCAGGACTAGCAGAAAGCCGCACAGAGCAATAAAGGGTTTAGTCTGGGTAGCAGCCTCTTCTTATTTTCTTCCTTGAAGTGACATTTTCCCTGTCCTCTCCCTCTGCTCCAAAAAGCTCTGAGAAGGAGCTGGTCAATGAAGCTGCAAAGAGGGGTTTTATTGTGACTGTAAAACCAGCTCCCACTGATACTAGAAGAGAGATTGCTGAAAGCAGGAGAGCAGTCAATCCCATGTCCTTACTTTAATACAAATGCCATATAGTGCCGACGCACAAAAAAATAGCTGTGTTGTTTAAACAGAGGGGACAGTTTGCCACTTATGAAAGAAGCAGCATGTTGTGGGTACGAGTGACAGCACAGTCTTGGGTGACCCAAGAGGCCTTTCTAAATCTCTTGTCATGCTAAAAACTGTGTGGTAGTCTAGTTTTCCTTCCGGATTGTGTGCTGGCCATCTAGTCCTTTCCCCATGGAAGGTGCGTTGCAGTCTTTCTGCTTACAGTGATAGTGCCTCCTTTCCCTTCATCTGAAGTGCTCTGAAGTGTGTTTTAAGAAAGATATTGGTTTGGGAGGCAGGATTCTGTTCTTTGTCACTTACAGTTGCCACCAAGTTATGTTCAAGCTCGGTCTGTCTCCTGCAGTGCTGTCGTTGTTGTGGGATTCAGGGCTATGGCTTCTGAAAAGCTCTTTCCTCCTCACTAGCTCTGAGTGTACTCGGACAGCACCTGCTGTGCAAAGAGATTCTGACATGTTAGCAGCCTGTCATCATTGTATCTCAGGTTGATTGTCCACCTCAATCTGTGTGTATTCCCTGCTTGAGTAGATTGTGTATCTTGAAGTGGCTTCCACCACCCCTGTAGCTTTGTGCTGTAGAGCTTCTTTATAACCTGGTTTCTGATAGGAAAAGTTCAAAAGTTTGCATGTTTACTACTAACTCTTCTGTTGCTGTATGGCCTATATTTTTAACTACAGCCTTCAAGACTGCAGAGTGCAAAGTTGTAGCCTTTTTCCAAGTTATGGTTCAGATCTATTCATTCAGTGGAAGAGTGGCTACTCTAACTGGAAGACTGTATAGGTGTCTGGATATGGCAGTAACAGCCATATGCAAAATGACACTTCACAAGCACCTGTCTGCCTACTGATAAGTGCTAAACCTTTATACAAATTGATGACCACTGACAAAAGGGACAACCATAATGTATTCCACTCCTCCCTCCCTCCCTCCCTCCTCCCTTCTAAAATTACCATGCTTAAAAATAAGCCCAGGGACAGTGTTTTATGCATTGATCATGTTAGAGCAGCAAGTGTCATGTCTCTGTGCTTCATGCTTTCTGTGTACAGGCAAAGGGTGAAGATAACTGATTTTTTGCAGAGGATCTGAGTATCTAGCTTTGGGTTTTCTGAGATGAAGATTGAAAATTTTCAAGAAAACTGGAATCTGTTGTGTAATGAAAATTAATTATTTTCATTAATCAGAACACTCCTAAAAATGTGATTTATTTTTTTTTAATGGCCTCTTCTATCTTACACTAAATGGTTTTAGAATATTATCTTTTTCAGATTGATGCTTGCAAAGAAGTTCATCTGGTTTTGTACTGTATCACTGTCTCAGAAGTGGAAACCTTTACGTATGTAACTTTTTAATGGACCTACCCATTACATCTGTGATTTGGGCTAGGTCTCCGTATCAGGCAGGCATGGGTTGTTTGGCTCTTTTAAGTCTGGAGTACCTACTGAAGATAAGGTGGATCCAAACATCCCCAGTAGCCTTTCAAAAAGGGTGTCTGGAGGATCCAAGGCCACCCCTTCCTGCTGGAGGGAGTGCAGTTCTGCAGTGCCCCACCATTTTTCCACACTCAGTGGTGGAGACCTGTGTTAGCTCTAAGTGTTGGTACTGGGTATTCTCCTCAGTGTGTTGGGTGTGATGAGAGCCTTTCCCAGCAGTGTCCAACTGTGATGTGCCATGACTAGACTCGGGCTAAGCTACTGCCCTGAATTATGGGCTTTTTCCTTCTTCTGAGGCCAAGTGCAGCTTCTAATTTGATTCTTTGGGAGATTTCTCTGCAGAGTCTAGTGGCTGACACTACTGGCTAAGTAAGTATGGCAGTACCTTTTCTGTTAAATGCTTTCTATGTAAATTCACCAAGAAACCTCCCTCATCATCAACAGATATGCATGTGACAAACATGTATAGAGCATCAAAACAGACCATCCAATATGTTTACACCAGTGTTGATTTAATTGTGTATTGAATCACCAAAGTGATGTGTGCTTTGGAGTGCTGGCTGGATGAGACCAGGAGTATGCTGGAGCAGCAGTGCAGAGCGGGTGCTAATTTTCTGTGATGCCTCAGCTCTGCCAGAGCCTTCCTGCCTATGGTGATATTGACAGAAGACGCTGGAAAACTGGTTCCACAGCCTCTCCAGATCCTTCCTGGGTCTTGGCCCTGCACTAGACCCTGCTCCCTTACCACTGCTGATTCCCTAATTTAAACAAGCTGCCTGTGTGGTTAGTTAGTTTACTGAAGTCATTTCTCCAAC